GTCACAATAGCAGGTATATACTGTTCACCATAAAAAGAAAAAAAACACTAAACAACATAACCTCCCACAACAATAGATATATTATTATAGGCGACCTCAATAGCAAAAACACAATTTTCGGTTGCCGAACCACAAACGTTATTGGAATACGTCTACTATAAATTCTAGAAGATTCAGATACCTACCTACTAGGGATGCTACAATTAAGGAATCACTTGATTCAGTAAACAGAAAAAATAATTAGTTGTTTTTAAATCCTCTCAAATAATTCGAAAATCTACTACCAGCAAATAACACAATCCGTGGAAAGTCAACGGATCCCTTATTTCAACACAGCATATGTTTTGATGGAATATGTTCAGTGACTCATTCGAACTTGCGACACGCAGATCGTGATATTCGAGTGCACAAACCACCAGGCCGCGTTTCCATCAGAAGGAAACATAACAGACGCAACTTGAATTGGAAACATTATCGTTAAAAAGCTCTAAAAGGTAAAAAATAATAATAATTTTCTGAGGAGACCGCTATTGTTACCTATCAAACATAAAGTATCGTTATCGTCAGGTGGAAGAGGAACATGCAACAAAAATAGATATTCAGCCACCTGATTCAGATACTGTATTATGTTTTAAATCTAGGAAGTGTAACATTTTTTACTCGTATTTTGGATCTAATTTTAGAGTTCAACGTTGAGTGTGTCGATATTGTCTATTATTATTTGGAAAAAAAAAAAGATGGAGTCTGTATTTATGTAATTTAACGAGTGGTCTCCGAGAAAAACACTGGATCAAATTTATTTCATTTCTTTGATTTACCAAAATGTACATAATTTATGCATTCCTCAATCTTTACCTTCAAAAGTTTGCCCTTAAAGACAGCATTTTTTTACTCAATATTCCTAGCCAATGCTGGCGAAGCAATCGTAAATAGCGAATACGTAAGTTATTATTACCTACTGTTCAATAGGTTTTCAAATGAACCTAAACTTTACATCTTCAATAAATGTAGTTATCTGATCATCATATTATTCACATTCATCTAGCTTGCCATTTTTTTACTGAACCCTCTGCGTCTTCACATTCCTTAATCACTTTGTATAAAACTATTGCAGTGCTTAATCCAACTATCTAAATGGTACTTCCATTATTATAGATGGCTTTAATAAAAAAATGTCTTTATCATTAAAGGACGTAACCTCGCGAACAAGCTTTTTTGTGGCCTTACACTCACACACAAATTATCAAATGGGTCAGAGTTTAATCTTTTTATTTTGCACTTTAGTGGAGATCAAAGGATGCCGCCTGTGGGTTACATAACTAGTATATAATATGCAAATTATGCCAACCTGAAGGTTACATAATTGTTATGCAATATATATAAAAGATCCCACCTCCTGGGGGTAACATAACTTTTACGTAATAGGCACCAGAGGGCAATGGCGTCATAGTTCCACGAAGTGGCACCAGAGAGACGGCTGTCTCAGGGTAGAGGGGTGACATAATAGTTCATCACTAGAGGGGGGTACTGGTAGAAGAGAAGGAGGACGATGAGGTCATCAGCTCAGATAGTTCGCGAGCGAGGGTGATGTAGATCATTAGATATCAACATTTCATCAACTTTATAGTAACAATCAGTCTTGAAATTAATAATTTGTCCAATTTACATAAAGTTTTATCACAATTACAGTTTCGCTTGATAAGTAAGATATTAAATCTACTATTTTAATCTCTAGTTCTTATCATTATGATCAACTTAATAGCTTTTTTTGCTTATATATTTAATTGTATTATGTACGATTTACAAAGATGGATAGTGTTACTATAGGCGAATAGTTCAATGTGTTTTACAAAAGTGGATGGTATTTCTATAAACATATAGTGTTATTAAACTTCCGTAGGTTTGCATACAGATTTCAACTTGTCTCAACTTATGTTTATAGTTTTCATTTATATATATATTTAACTGTGTTACATGTGTTTTAAAAAGGCGGGTGGTGTTTCTATAGACAGATAGTGTTACTAATGTGTTTAATATAATATAGTTAATATACTGGTTTTAGCACATCTAATAAACATTTTCATAAATATTGAACAAGACAGTATAGCCGATTGTGTCTTAACTTTCGATTTAATATACATTTAACGTACTGATTTTAGTCTTCTACATCTAATTTACATGACAAACATTTTTGCCTTTTCTGACATTTTATAAATAAAACACTTATCGCTAATTAATTTATATAATTAATGTATTGTATAACATCTATTCACCCTGAAAATGATGTTTATTTAAATCTCTAGATAATATACACCAATTTCATGTTTAGCTTTATAAGTTGATTTGTTTCACTAAAGTGTAAAATATCTACGTAAATAGTTATGTTTAACCAATGCTGTTATATAAAATTATATTCTCACCTTTCTGTAGATATTTTCACAAATCTTTGTCTAGAGCTTGTTTCTTGCTGATTCAAACTATTTACATACTGGTTAAAAGCTCGATAAACTATGGTTGTATAAAAAAAATTATTGTATACCAGGACGGGAGCCAGTGGGAGAAAGCGAAGAAGCTGGCTCCCGTCCTAGTATGTTATATGGCCTTCCCAAAATTCATAAAGCAGGTGTCCCCCTCCGACCCATTCTTTCCACTATAGGCACAACTAGTTACAAACTTGCTAAATTCATATACGACTTCTGTAAAAAAAAATATTGAGAATGTAATTTAAATATTGGACTTTGAAACAACCGTTTTTTGTCAAAACATAGTCTGGAAATATTGTAGTAAAATGCCATATAAAAAATCGCTTTGTGGTAGTAGTCGCAGACTTTTAAACTTTTTTATATATAAAATTTAACAAGATGAACCTAGTTTCTAAGTGAACCATATTTTCTTAGCTAAAAATATTTGTACGAAATTAAATTAATAGTCTATAAAATCAGAGCAAATGTCTAATGTCAATAAGAAGAGATTAATTCAACTAATTTTTTTGACAACAATAACAAATTTCATTCTCGGTCTTCATCATAACAATTTAACCATATGATACAAACTAGAAATTTATGACAAAGATAGACATCATTTCAGGATGATGATAACAGTGATATGAAAGTCAGTTTTAGTCAGTGTGTAGTTAATCTAAAATTACTATAAAGCAGAATAAAAAATTTTCTCTATTCTAGCAGTTATATTAAACATAAAAATTAAATTTAAAACCTAGAAATTTGAGAATTGTACACAAAAATATATTAATATAGCAAAATTTTCAGTATTTGACTCTTAGTTTTCAATGGCAGGCAACAGTGCCCATTGAGTAAAAAAATGCTGTCTTTAAGGGCAAACTTTTGAAGGTAAAGATTGAGGAATGCATAAATTATGTACATTTTGGTAAATCAAAGAAATGAAATAAATTTGATCCAGTGTTTTTCTCGGAGACCAGAGATGCTACAATTAAGGAATCACTTGATTCAGTAAACAGAAAAAATA